TCCTAGGCTTGTCCGATACCAATTAAACGAACCCAGACCCAGATAGATAGACGGTTTGATTGGTCTGAGCGAGTACCAATCCGAGGTTAGAATCTCAGGCCTTCGGAGTCTGAGCTCCCACAAAATATTGCAACTTCTATAGTGTGCTTTGGGGGTGTAACTAGGTTACCTACAGATGGGAAGCACTGAACCACGATAAAGCCCTAGGAGTCAACGGAAGAATAAATATGAAGTATATTCAAACAGTAGCATTATAGCAAACTCTGTACGGTGCAGCAGTACATGTCAGGCCCTTATATATAGCGGAGGTGGCGTAGTGGCAAGTGGCGCACCATCTTACACTCACGGTCACGGTTTCGAATCCCGGACCGATATCGGCCAAAGCCAAACAAGCCTTACGTCCCTCCGGGGTCTGGTTTGGTATCTGAAGTTCCTCCGGGGTCTTGTACACAGGCTGGGCACCGCAGCTCATTGTATAGGCCACTGCAAAATACCACCACGATTTCGAATGGAATTCGAATGCGGGACTCATCCAAAAGCGTGTTTGATAAACGATACTTTGTTCTTTAGCCTTCGCGTTTTTTCTATGCTCTATCCAATCACGAGACTCCTTTCTTTAAGATGACCCCATCCACGACCCACGTAGCAAATGCAAGTAAAGTTCCAATTTGGGTGAGTCATGAGTGTCTGCGTTAGTTTTCTTGAAGGATGGAAATCGCTTCTCCATCATTTTGTATAATTCCCTCGAATTTCCAGGCAAAAGTGACCGATGATGGCACAAAAGTCATTCAAAGTGTGGTGATCGCAGTACCCGGTGAAGTGGAAGTCAGGATCGAGACAGCTAGCAAATTCGCCGCTGAACACGGTACATCAGTTTTAAGTGATTCTAAAGTCAATTCTGTTACGGAAAGACATACATACCAGGGTTTACGAAGATCAGCCCCCGAGTTGCTACTCCTTTCTTCGCTGGCGATCGCATGCTGTGGGTGTTCAAGACGAAAGTGTTCGTCAGCGCCTACTACGTGTGCGTTTTTCTTTGTTTCATTTCCCATTTACAGTACCTATAAACTCGAACCCAGCTGAACCCAGCTTCAGTGGTCCAACTTCTCCGAGTCCTTCTGCTTATGTACCTTTTGATTTCTATTTGAAACATCCTTACGGACGTAGAAAATCGAAGAAAGAACCTTACGGTTGAGAAGGTAACAAGGGTATGCTATGGAGTTTTATTGTAATCAAATAAAAGTGGTGTTCGAGCTCGGAATATCAGCCACTTTTCAGTGATCCTAAGACAGGAGCCATTTGCGAAATCTGTTCCGCACATCCGTTACCGGCCAACTACAGTGCGATCGTGGCCAAAGATATGACAATTCGAGCAACTGAAATGGGCGAACTATGGAAGGACATTTCGGGTCAATGGCATTGATGTTTGAATAAAACTCCATTAATTGACATAGAACTGTAAATCGATAGGAGGTGGAACTTTGGCGAGAATGGATCGTCCGAGATCGTGCTAGGAATGCGAGAAAACAAAACTGCTGAGATTTTCAAACAAATAAAGCTATTAAGCGCGATGTAGCGCGGTTTCATACAACTGACCACACCCTCAATTTGCCCACCCGCAAGGTTTAAGGGGTTTGGGTGCAGGGGTTGTCGTTTCCGAACTTGCTTTGCTGCCCATATGGGTATTGAGAGCCTACATGGCACCACTTTACTTTCACTTACTGCTCGATGTGGGTAATCCAGCGTACAGTTGCGAAGCATTTGAGTAACACGCTGAATAGGTGGTCTTCGGGCTTTGAAGGCACAGTTTACAGACAAAAAACTTTTGAAATATCCTGCTGGAATGGCTTTGTATGACCCCCATATGACTTGGCGCTGCCATACCTGAAATGGCCTTTCTAGGGCTTGGCTAAGGATCGAAGATTGCACCTTCTGTAACCTCGGACGAGTTTCACCGGCATTGTAGAGGCTGCACCAATCGCAAGGAAGCCAATGTAGGGAGATCAAACAACTTGTCATGACAAATAGTGGCAGTTCGAGGGCAGATCTGTACAGTTTTGGCTTGATGTAGTCAGTTCTTTGCTCAATTGCAACAACTGAAATCTCGTCCGAATACTCCTCCCATGTTATTCCGTCATGACAATCTCGTCCAACCTCTATTTTCCCTTCTTTTGAAGACCCATATTTTCCTCGAAATCGGCGAACTCGCTCGCTTTATTCACTACCGATGAACTATTCCCATCCTACACTTCCACTTTTTGACTAAAACGGGGACCGCAGTCCTTTTCTGGACCTTACGAAAATGAAAATTCAGAGCAGAAACCTGATTCCTACAGTAATCCGCACTTTAGTCCTTACCAGAAAGCCTGATTGTGATAAAATACGGTGAGGTCACTACTCCTCAAGGGTATAAATAAGAGAAAATAAGGTGTTCCACTAGAAAAACGTTTTGTTAGTCATAGAAACGTGTGGTTCGCAACACCAGTCACACAACGGACAAAAGATTACTCCGAAAGGCGATAGGAGCGATTTTATAGATTGATTGCGTAGGCAGAGCAGCATTCCTACGTTTCATACAGTGATACCATCGCTACGTATTTTCCTGCTTATACATATCTGCATTGTTACCACCTTGTCAAATACTGGTGAACCCTCAGAGTCCGAAAAATGGGTGTTTTGACTGTTTGAAAAGAAGCAAGTTATCATTTATCTAATTCCTCCCCCCCCCCCCCCCCCCCCACCATAGGTCTATGTCCAATTCGCGATTGTTGTTTTCACATTTCTGCTGCTTGCATTTTTGTTTGTTTGTTTGTTTGTTTACGTTACGAGCATACTCGTCGAATAATAGCTAGCGGGTACAAAAGTGAAAGCCTGTCCATACCTGTGGAGAGCTCCGGATAGAGCATCATTAGGGTGTGGTCTTGATAAAGGGCGTCCAACAGTTCCTGTTCGGGATGCGCCCTGCACTGAGCTTTCATTGCGAACCCAGAAGGGTTCAAATGTATACATATATTTGTGATCTGCGGTGGCCTTGCCGTGGCCAGTGTCAAATCAGCACTTTCATCCTCCCTGACTAGCCCGGTACCACGAACGAACGCAGAAGGGTGGAAGGCTTGATTGAATAGGACAGGTACTAACCGAGGACCTTGGATCCTAGTAGGCTAGTTGACCCTACTCCACTTTTATTGTTATAATTGAGAAAGGACGTCGACGCCGATGGAGAACAGAAGGTCAGATTCTAGGCTGGGATTGTGTCTGAGTTCTTACAAACTATTGCAACTGTTATAGACGCTTCGGGGGTGTAACCAAGTAACCAAAAGATGAAAAGCACTGAATCTTCTTAAAGCCCTAAGGAACAACGAAAGGAAAAAGTGAAGCGTATCCAAGCGGTAGCACTGTAACAAACTTGTACGGTGCAATAGTATATGTAAAGTCCCGATATAGCCATCAGTTCTCCCCGGTATGCCATATAGGATCCGGTCGTCCCCTTTCCTTCAGAATTTTGATATGGCCACCCCCAGTTGGTATCAAATAGTAGATTATTTTCGGTTCAACCGTTAGAGGATGACTTGAAAAATATTGAATTCGGAATCTGCTTCATTGTTGCCTAAGGAGTTTATTAACTATGTCAGAACTCAGTTGTTAGAGCAGTGCCAACTTATACCAACATTCCATTTCAGTTATCCGTTCAAGTCTTGTATATTGAGCGACCACCGCATCCAAAACGCTATTACGATTCCGATTGGAATTCGAATGCGAGGCGCATCCCAAAGCAGATTAATTAACGATTAAAGCTTTCCCCTTTTGGCCTTTCCGTCTTTTCTATACTCTGTTTAACTGTGAGAATGCTCTCTTTAAGATGAGTCCTTCCACAACCCACGTAGCGAATGCAAGTGAAGTTCCAATTTGGGTGAGTTATGAGTGTCAACATGAGTTTTTCTTAAAGATTGAAGTCGTTTCACCAGCTTTTTATATGATCTCCTCGAATTTACAGGCAAAAGTGACCGATGACGGCACAAAAATTATCCAAAGTGTGGTGATAACGATACCCGGTAAAGTGGAAGCCAGGATTGAGACAGCTAGCAAATTCGCCGCTGAACACGGTACATGAGTTTTGAGTGATTCTAAAGTCAATTCTGTAACGGAAATACGTACATACTAGGGTTTACGAAGATCAGCCCTCGAGTCGCTACCCCTTTCTTCGCTGGCGATCGCATGCTGTGGGTGTTCAGGACGAAAGTGTTCGCCAGTGCCTACTACGTGTGCGTTTTTCTTTGTCATATTTCCCATTTACAGTACCTGTAAACTCGGCATCCCTGATTACCTTATCCTGAGATCTTCTGGTGTAGCCCTTGCTTTCCATTCAAGCCATGTCTCAGCCAGATGATCGTGGTTAGAAATTCACGGCTCAAGGTTTTTGGGTGCAGGGTGGAAGGAACTTGAAGTCGTGGTCTAGTGACCAGTAATGTGAGAGATATTTTGAAAAGTTCGAATATCAGCCATTTTTCAGTGATCCGGAGACAGGAGCCATTTGCGAAATCTGCTCTGCACATCCGTTACCGGCCAACTACAGTGTGATCGTAGCCAAAGACATGACAATTCGAGCAACTGAAATGGGCGAACTATGGAAGGACATCTCGGGACAATGGCATTGATGTTTGAATAAAACTTCATACATTGACATAGAGCGGTAATTTGAAAGAAGGTGGTCCTACTAGAATAGTGCCTGGAATGGACCGTCCTATAAGGCACACGAGAAGAAACTACTGAAATTTCCAAACAATAAAAAACTATAATATTACTAAGAATGACGCTGCGCGGTTCCATTCGACTGCATCACACCCCGATTTGCCCGCTCGCAGGTTTGACAAAAGTAGCTGTTGTTCCCGGAGTTGGTTCTCTGGCCATATAACTAGCATGAGGCTACTATTGTGATACTATCTATTTCTACATGTTGTTCAATGTAGATAATCCACGTGTACGGAAGCATTCAAGTGAGACTCATGAAAAACACTGGACAGCAATGTTTGGGCTCCAATATCCGACAACTTGTTCGATACGGGGAGTCCTGTCGCAATCGTTGGGTGGTTTTTGAGCCTTGCATTTATGATAGTTTGGGAGGTAGATGCCAGCAAGCAGGGAAACGGAATGTTGGGGTAATCGCACTCGCTATACCTCTTTTAAAGGCACTGTTAACGAATAAATGGTTTCGAAGATATGCACATGGTTAGAATTCTAAGCCCCCTCTGATAACATTTGTGCAGGAATTAGGTGGGAAAACGGCTGGATAGGGCACAATAAGGCCAGGAACAGTGGGGGACGGGAGGCCTCCGCCCCTCGTTAGGCTGACTACGTGTTCAAGTTGTCCTTCACCACTTTCGCACTGGAGCGAAGTTGTTGAAAAATCGATACGCAGATTGGCAAACTGCCAGGAATGATCAGCTGGTCGACCGCCTCGTACAGGAGCTAAATAGTATTCGGCTGTTATTTCTATTTTATGTTTGTTATTTCTATTGTTTTTTTGTTATGAATTTTTCACGGTAGCATTTTTTAACTATTCTCGTAAGTTTATCGAAGAATTGCATGCAAATGTTTTTTTATTTAAGAAATTCCGTTAATTCTGATGTGTTGTCTGTATTGCAGACATTCGTCGCCTTCGTGCATTCTCGCTCGAACACTACCTAACCGCAGTTTT